TTTTCCTTTTAATTCCTCTCCTTTCTTTTTGAAGCTGAGGGGATAATAAACCCATGAAGAAATTGTCGAGCCTAGTGAGAATTAATGTCGGCTGCACCCAGCGTGGGGCAGTGAGTTTGATATTTTTAATAAAGAGAGACCCAGAGAGATTGATTCTGATTCTCGTCAATCGCTTTGGAACTAAGCCAGCAGCCAAAGGGGTTTGAGGTGTTTTCCTGGCGCTAGACTGGGCAGCAATGCAGTTTCCTCTTCTTTTGAAGGAACTACAAATTGAATGAATACTCAAAACACACTCTGGAATCAGAACTCGTAAAGGCTTCAGATGCGCATTATCTGTCAAAGTTTCATAACTAGGGGAAAACAATAAATTACAGCATACTAGGTATAACTCCCGAAATAAGGAGAATCTTGCTTTGTTTTGAAAAATCCACTTTCTCTAGGAAAACACTTGTGACAATGTGGAAACTTCCAAATTTCGGAGGATGGCTACTTATTCCTTAATCCATATATTCCGCAGCAAAATACAGACGTTGAGAGGAGAGCGAGTCGTTTACTACTTCAGGAAGGATTTGGAACAGCATAAAACAAATACCCAGAAATATAAAGATGTCTACATCCATGTCGATGCAGCTTAAACTCGACAAAAATCATCAAGGTCTTTTAAAAGTGTTTATACAATGACTGCCTGGATTGTTGGTTTGTAAAGGTCGAAAGATCAAAAGAACTTGTTACTTCCAACCATTAGATTTGTGCAGGTTACAAAACTGGAGAGGAGGCATTTTATTTTGTTTATAATATTGTGTTAGTACTGGGTTTAGTCCCACATTGGTTATGAGGACAAACCTCACCCTCCTCTACTTGTGTGTGTGTGTGTATATATATATATATATATATAGACAAATTTAATACACATCATTAATGTGAAAAAGGTAAAATTGGAACAATTCACTACATTAATGGTGGCTGGCAACATTGAAAACTGGAGATAATGATTAAAACCAAAAATACAACACGTCCTTTAATGAGATACAGAGCAAGTTGCTCATCCATCAACGTGCTACGTCCTTTCACTTCCCCATTTCTCTCTCTAACTCACTTCCTGCTCTCTGTAACTCACTTCCATCTTCTATCAAGCTTTGATCTTCCATCTTCGTATGAAGAACACAGCAACAATTCATTAAAAATCATCCAAACCATCCAAGCTTTCGCTGGAGTGAATTTGGATTATATTGAAGCTCGATTCATTGGAGTGAATCCAGATTCACTGAATTGAATCCAGATTCAGTGGACTGAAACTCGTTATCAAACAATAGCAAATCTGCAAAAATAAAAAACAAAAAGAATAAGAAACTTATGGTAAAAACAAGCTATAAAATTTTAAATCATGATAAGATTTCATATTTTACAGCAAAAAGTTACGATTTTATGGTAAAAAACAAACACATCACATAACTGAATCTGGATTCACTGCAGTGAATCTAGATTCACTATAGTGAATCTAGATTCACTCATACGTTTATTTCTTCGAAATTACAGCACATGCATTTATTTCTTCAACAATTCGTTAAAAATCATCCTAACCATCCAAGCTTTCGCTGAAGTGAATCTGGATTCACTCCATTGAATCTGGATTATATTGAAGAATAAGAAACTTATGCTAAAAAACAAGCTATAAAATTTTAAATAAAAAGAATAAGAAACTTATGGTAAAAAACAAGCTATAAAATTTTAAACCATGAAAATATTTCACCTTTTACAGCAAAAAATTACGATTTTATGGTAAAAAACAAACACCTCACATACTGAATCTGGATTCACTACTGTGAATCGAGATTCACTGCAGTGAATCTAGATTCACTTATGCGTGTCTTCGTTTTTCAACTGGTTTCTTCAAAAAACAAAAAAACTTTTCAGACGAAAAGGTGAAATATTTCACATTTTACAACAAAAAGCTACGATCTTTAAGGTTAAAAGGTGAAATATTAAACAACAGGATGACCAATTGCTATCTAAATAGTACTTATAAATTTTCAATCAGAGCTAAAAGATAAATAACATTCTCTTTACTTCTCACGTTATCAAAATCCAATCTTGAGAATAATCAATAACCACCCAAGTGACAAAAACTTCTCTTCCAAGTAATTTCACCTCAAAGAATCACATCAAATAAAAACGCACGAAAGACGTCATCTTTCATCAAAATCGAATTTTGAGGAGAATTTACAAACACCCAAATCGAGATTTTTTTCGCCGAAATCCCACCTCTGGACGCCTCTCTGGGGGAAGTGGAGACGGCGACGGGGGCGAGAGAGAAGTTCCTCCCCCGGCGAAGGAAAGGGGTGGTGCCTGGGGTTAAGACGGGAGGCGAGGCGGCGGCAGGCGGCGGAGGAACCGAATAAGGAGTGGATAGGGAGATGTTGAAGACAGAGAGAGAGTTGCTTTGATTTTGGAGAGAGAGAGTTGCATGGGGAAATGGAGAACTCAACAGAGAAGAATTAATTACCTCTCTTTAGTGGGCTGTTTATTTTACCTAATTATCCTTATGCAGCTTTAATCTCAGCCATTAGATGAATCTAGATCCAATTGAGAGGATTGGTTTTTAGTTTTTAGGATAGTGAGGTTTTTATTTGAACCTCTCCCTATATATATATATATATATATATGTATATATATGTATATATATGTATATATATGT